AGCGATAGAAATTTAAAATATCCTCAACACACACAAGAGATCCCCAATCTACAAAAGATGATTTAAGCTATAAGAAATTGACCAATTACAGTCAAATATTAAGAGAATAATCGATTATGATTAGTCAATATTTGGTCTTACTTCTCATATCATCTTTTATATCGGGGCCAGGGTTGGAATTCTGTACTCGCTTACCGACAACTATCGGTATCGTTAACTAACGACAGCCAATGGCAAGGACGATTTTGGAAAAAAAGCACGGCTCTCATTGGCTGTTAGTTAATGACACCGATAATTGTCGGTGGATATGTACAGAATCCCAGCCCAGGTTTTAGTAACTATATATTGGATACACCAATCATATTTCTGAATGCAATCATTTGTCACGTGATTAGTTTACGTCTGCGCATAAAAATTTCCACTAGTGAGAATTGTCCGTTTCCCGTTGTGTCTCTTTAACGTGAATTTCACAAAACGCAACATGGCTGAGGTAAACGCTCTAAAAATTTAATATTAAATCCGAAAAAATCTTAGGCATCTATTGTACAAAACATAATTCTGTGGATTGTACATTTCATCTAGTTCTAAAGAAATATTATTAAAATAATAATAAACTATGTATCATAGGTTTAACGAATCTTATAAAAATTATTTTTTTTAATATAAATCCAGGCAGATGAAACTCAAAAGAAGAAGAGGACCTTCAGGAAGTTTACCTTCCGAGGAGTCGACCTCGATCAACTTCTGGATATGCCAAAGTAATGATAAAATAGCGATTGCTTGAACATAACCTATATCAATCCTTAGGAATTCATGCGGATTTTAGTTACTTGTAATCGACAACTCAAATTTGAAATTTGAACAACTTTTGGCTGTAATAGAATTAATTAAGAAAATAACATCTGTACAATATATATAATCATTTCTCAAATATCAAAAATTTCAATAAAATGTTTCAAAATATAGAGTTGAGAATCCGTCTGAAATCCGATATGAATTCTTGAGGATTAATCTTGTAACATTGGCAATCAATATATTCGTATATCTTGCAATGAATTTGAAATCAAATAAGATCAATTTGTTATATTTGTAGATAATTTACTTTCGTAGAATATTCTTTATATTGATTAAACTGAACAAGATATTTGAATATAAGGTTACATAAAAAAAAGTGTAAATAAACAATTTTTTTTAGTGAGCAACTGATGGATTTGATGCATGCAAGAGCACGTAGACGCTTTTCTCATGGTCTGAAAAGAAAATCTATGGCTCTTGTTAAGAAGTTACGTAAGGCAAAGAAGGAGACTCCACCTAATGAAAAACCTGAAATTGTCAAAACGCATTTGCGTAATATGATCATTGTCCCAGAAATGGTTGGTTCGATTGTTGGTGTGTATAATGGAAAAACTTTTAACCAAGTTGAAATCAAGCCAGAAATGATTGGCCATTATCTCGGAGAATTTTCTGTTACCTACAAGCCTGTCAAACATGGTAGACCTGGTATCGGTGCAACACATTCTTCAAGATTTATTCCACTGAAATAAATTGTATTCATCTTTTACCAATAAATTATAAATAATGTAACAAATGAGTTAATTTTTTGCTAAAAATATACAAATTTGCCAATAGGAATATTATGACAAAAATCTGACGTTCTTGCAAAATTATAAAAATTATACAAAATTATACATTGAAGCTTATAAAAACAGACTTTTTAAGATTTAATTCGCAAACAGATATAGGGAAAGTATGTACATTTGCATAAATATATGTGTAAAATAATATGTGATACAACGTCATACATAATAGTTTTTACACTGAAATGCATTGTAGATTATCTCCTTTTATATTTTACGATATATATTTGCCATATAACGTGTTTTTAGATTTTGATTCAAGAGAATTTGTATATTAAGCTTTTTGCAAATTAATAAATATTGTATTCATTATAGCAGAGTTCAATATTTTACATGCTAAAGTATAAGAAATGTGCAGTTTGTAAATGCCTATCCATCACTATTTTGTTTCATAGCAAAATAGGCACTTTTAAGTTCTTGAAGATTGTTCTCTAGCGTTGCCATCTCATCATATTTGCAATCGATACGAGCTTGCTTGATATATGCATGTAGATTCCTCATTTGTTCGACTAGTGGATCCATAGAGGAAGACATGATGGGTGTGACATGAGATGGACCCCAGCCTTGAGATTGAGTCACTTGTGCCTAAAAAATTAGAAGATTGTCACGATAAAATTTGAATCAGTTATAACGATTAATTAATTGATAATCGAGATGACAAGAAAATTTAAATTTTAATGCGAATTCATTTCTTTTAATCAACTTTTTATCTTGAAAAATTTTCTTTAATATTGAATATCTTTTATCGCTGCATTGAACTGCATTAAAACATTTTTTTTTTCGTTCTTAGCAAAGTTCTATTAAATGATGATTTAAGAGAGAGATTCTTAACTATTTATTAGAGTTTGATAAGATACATTACCTGATTAGTTTTCAAAGGACTAGTGTCTAAATTTCGCGTTTCTTTCTTACGTTGTTCTTTTGGCTTTTCTCGCTGTTCTTCTTCCAATTGCCGCTCATATGCTATTCGGGCTTCTATCCTTTTTTGACGTTCCTCTTGTAAATCTGCATATTCTTTTGCCGACGGCAAGGGCTGTAGAGTTAACAATTCTTCTTTTAGAAATATCATTGCTGATGTCCTAACCATCTGATATAGTCTCAATTCTTGCCCCACTGTCTCCTGCGGATTTTCTGTATCTTTTTTTATGCCAAGGAGTAAAATTCTTTTACTAATCGCATCTATATTTTCTCCCAATTTAGCCAGTTTGACTCGTAATGATTGTGCATCTTCCAAATCGTATGTAGTCTCTCCTTCTCTAAAATAATTTTATGAGCATACTACTACAAGTTATTCCAAGGAAGTCGCACTGTGTATTATAATTTTTTAATATATAACGCGTGCAAATAAGGATAAACTGTGCATTGTGCCTTAAATAATAGCAGTTTACATACTTCAATGATTCCCATATTTTGTTGTACATTGTTAAATATTGTGATGCTTCGTTCATGCACTCCCGCATTTTCTCGTAAAATTCACAAACAATTGGTTTGTCAAACTGCTTCGCCTTTTGCATTTCCCTTGCTTCAAGTAAATTTATGCAGTGAGTACAAATTCTAAAGTACTGTTCACCGCTAGTTGGATCATTTACCAACGATAAAATACTATTCAAACTACTGTTGGAAGGTGATCGTGGTAATTTTGTACTAATGCCTGCACGTACTATTCTCTCAGAAAATGCTCGTTGCGACGTAGGAGACAAAGCAGAATCGTCTTGTACTGATACAGGACTAGTCATTTTTCCTGTAAAAAAATGTTTATTAAATATATTTAAATATATTTAAAATACATTTAAATATATTTCATAATAATATACAATTTGAAATTGCTTCGTAGATAATAAATATATTACGTACGTGCATTAATCAAGGACAGAAATACAGTACAATTATGACACATGACTGCCCCGCATAATCTACAGTGATGTTTTCGTCTCGCCAAATGAAAACTCTTAGCACAATTAGGACACAATTTTACATCTTTTTCATCGATCCATGGCACAATAGTGCGTTCATGAGCTAACAAAATATTCGTTTAGTACAAGTAGAATCATGATACAAGTAGAATAAAGTAACTTGTATATTTCTTCACCTTTTCTATCAACAGGATCCGATGGTAAATTATTTAATAATTTATCTAGTCTTATAAGAAGTTTATTTGTTTCATATGCATATCTTTCTAATCGAGCATTTCTTATGTCTTTAAAATACTTAGTGTGACATGTAATTGTACCTGGAAAAATTTTTAGAAATTAATTATTCAGTAAAATTTAATCACGATTCCCTATTTTATATTGCATGTAATTTCTAGATTCCTATTTTTGAGAAGTGAAAGGCTAAATTTGGAATCTTATTATTAAGGAATCTTAATAATAAAAATATCTTTATTCAAAACAGCTTTGGTTTACAAGCGTTATATCTTATTAAATATCAATACCTATTTCTTGTGGTCCCCAATTAATTTCAGGACTTTGTCTCTTGTCTTGCGATATCGCACTGGGAAACGTTTCTGGGATATCGTCCTGTTTCAAGATTTTCTTCTTGGCTTTGCCAAATAAATCTAAAATAAAATATATGTTTCGATGATTCGCTTTGCACATATCCAGAAGTTTTATGCAATAAACGGTACAATTAAAATTTTTAGAACTTTCTCATTTGATATATAAATTGTGAATAGATCACAATTTATATACCATGTGTGCGCATACCTTTCAGCGATCTCAAAATCTCTGGATCGTCATTATGAACTTCTTCGAAATGCTTTGTCAACTGATTAGGTGCCTTGAAATCGGTCATGCATATAGGACATATAAATCCCTCTAGCACTACATCATTGCCCGCCATTGCGAGGCTGGGATATTTGCAGTTTAGACTCTTGGAGTTCTTCGAGCGTGTTTACCACGTTCCGATTGTTTCAACGTAGGCGTCTCTCCAATGCTGTAAAGGAAGAAAACGCATCTTGCAGACGGCCATATTGAATGTGACAGCTGATAGAAGTGTCAAATCCGTAATGGTTCCTGCATATAGAACTCGTCAATGCTAGAGAGTAACTGTAGAAACATATTGACTAGAGACTCTAGCAAGAGTCATGCCACAAAACAGCTATTTTTAATTAGTTTCTTAACAATTTCGCCTATTACTATTTCGTCTTTTTATCTTTGCATATCTCATAGGTATATGGAAATCTATTGTTAAAATTAATTATTATAGATTAATTTTATTTTCGAGTAATTGCATTTCTATCTGTTACATTTTAAGAGGGCGTTAGCGTACAATGGATTTTCAAGTTTCCATAAGATCGACTGTCTTTAATAATATATCGTTGATGTTGGAAATGATTGGATTTGGAATAGGAGTAAACAAGACTAAAGAAGATTGATAATTTAGTAGTTTTTTCCTGTGAAATGTAAATATTGTGACAAATAATGAAAAATTAGTATAATTTTGATTAAATAAAAAAGAAATAGGCATTATTGAGGGTATGTCATGTTAGCTTTGCAAGTGTAACATGTGTAATAAGATAAGGAAACAAATAATTTTACATTTTTCATGTAACTCTGTGATAGATGAGAAATCTCAATATTATGAGAATATTAAAAAAAATTTTATTGATCAATATCAATTAAATAATGGCACCAACGAAAGACAAATGGACAAGGCGTTTTATAATCACTGAAACAAAGCGACATAAAAAGGGTTTTACAATTTACAAAGTTACTTCTATGGTATGATGGATAAGTATTTGATGACATTGTCATGTCTTTAATTTCAATAATATTAAGTTTTTCGTATTTCAGATATTTCTAAAATCTTTTCATGAAGAAGTATCAAAAATATCTGTATGGAAACGTTACAATGATTTCAAAAAACTTCATTCAGAACTCGGTAACTTATATAAACGTTTAGGAATAAAAGAGGCTTTTCCAACTTTTCCCAAATCGAAATATTTTGGTAGATTTGAAGCTGAAGTTGTTGAAGAAAGGAAGAAATATGCTTTGAAATTTTTGGAATTTGTAGGACGGCATTCATACTTATACTCAAGTGATATCTTTATAACATTCTTTGAGACTAGCCATCAAGATAATTATACTAACGACTGCGCACATTCCTTGAGCTCTGATACCTCTGAAGATGATCGTATTGTCGCTTCAAATGATTCTGTGTTCGCAAATGATAATATAGTGCAAGATACTTTTCAAGTTCCATATTTATCAAAACCATCTAATATATTGACAAGTTCATGTTCTACATTATCAAATGTTATTTGTACAAATAACAATGAATTTACAGTACATCAGAAAAATAATGAATCTCAAGATAGTATTAACTTACAAAATGCCAACATTAATAAAGAAGAACAAAATTGCAAAATAACAAAATTACATGTGCAAGGTACTAAAAATTATGATCCACATATTGGAAATAAAGATTGTGATAAAAATAATATCACTACATTTAGCAACGTATCAGAATTTGATAATCTGAACAATGTCATCAGTAAAAATCTTTCAAATTATGATACACATTCCACATATCCCACAACATTATATGAGGAAGTAAGTCTTTCACAGAGACAGTCTGAATCTACACAATATCTTTTAATAGCTGCTGCTCATATAAGTGCAGCCTTTAAACATGAATCTATAGGAGAATATGAGGAAGCTTTTACACAGTACAAACTGGGAATATCATGTCTGATAAATGGTGTAAAATCTGACACAGATAAAACAAGAATATTAAGTATAAAAGATAAAGTATCAAAATATTTAACGCGAGCTGAGCAATTATATAACAGGCATTTAAATTGCAATATTTCCATAGTCAAGAAACCAATATCAGAACTTCAGTATTATAAAGTGCTTAAAATAATGAAATCCGTGATGCTTGTAATGGATATACGTGCAAATTGTAACAAAATAATCAAGGTAAAAAATATTAATTTATATATATATTTCTATTCATATGTATTTATATACAGATATTTATATATGTATAAATTTATACATTTATATTTATACATTTTATGCGCGCGCGCGTGCGTGTGTGTACTTTTTATTAGAAACAAAAATCTTTCAAATATTTTAATATTTGATGTTAAATTAGATAATATAATTTGGCATAATACAAAATAGTTTAAGAAATTTTTAGTTATAAGTAATTTAATTATAAATAATTCATAATTTTAGACTGCAGAAAAATCCTGTATTCAAGAGAACAATATAAGCAATTATGTATTATGCAAACAAGTACCTTACATGGTACATTTATATGCCTGTATTGAAACAGAAACTGCTATATTTTTAATTCTGCAATATGCAAGGTATTGTATAATTTGTAATTTGTATGTAATACAATATTATATATATTATTATATTATATTATATTATTTATATATGTTGCATTATAGTTGTGGAAAGCTATGGGATTTTGTAAGATTACATTACAACTTATATGACAATTCGTATATAACTTCGAATCAAATATGCGCTAATAGAGATATAAATAATGAAACCAATAACAGTGAAAACAATTGTGGACCAAACAAAACAGAAAATATTATGGAAAATAATCAAGTCCAAAATGATCATCGATATATGACAGGTGTTCAAAGTGAAATCTATATGGAAATGCCTACTATACAATTGCTAGAAAAATCACAAGAATTGCTACAATCCGTTAATGCAACATTGGAGAAAAGTAATTCCATTGCAAATCGATTAAATAAACGTAAAGAATTAAAACATTCAGAAAGTACATTATCATCTGATACTGAAACCATCACACAGATATCTCAAAAATCAGATCTCATGTTATCTAATGCTCATCGTGATAAGTCGAATCCTGATATGAAGATGAAAGACATCATTGCAGAGAATTCTTTAATAAATAATTTGGTAGAGAATAGAGACTTGAAAGGCAATAATTCTTTAAAAAATAGTAAAAATTTAAATATATCAAGAAACACTTATGCATCTATATTAAAAGAAAGTTGCACAGCTCGCAATTCGCTTGAAAATAAAAAAATAGGAAATTTGTATAATAACTCAATTTCAAAGACTATTTCAATACAAAATGTCTCGACTGATGGTTTAGTTCACATTCGTAAGACAAATAACATTGAAAATGTATCTAGTCAAATAAATTTATCAAATAGTGATTGTAGCATTAGTGAAACGCAATATCAATATACATGTAAAGAAAATAATATAGATAATAATATAGAAGAACAAAAACTTTGGCAAGTACCTGAATCTGTAATTCGATCATGGGCAGCTGAAATTCTTTTAGCTCTAGAAGCACTCCATCAACAGAATATCTTTATTTTTGACTTTAAGCCTGATAATATTCTTCTTGATGACACGGGACATATCCGGCTTACATATATTACACCACAGCACAATATTGAATTATCTAAACTAACATATCCATATTCGTCACCAGAATTAGTAATGTTTTCTCCGACTATTCTTATTACATCTGCTACAGATATTTGGAGTTTTGGAGTTATTTTATATGAACTACTTACTGGAATTGTATGTAAAATTAGATATTAATTGTGATATATTTTAATTGTGTATATATTTTAACAGTAAAATTTAATTTTTATTTTATCAGACATTTATCAAGAAACATCCAGGATTATTTCATTCACATTCTACGATTAATATTCCTAGCAGATTATCGGAGAGTGCAAGATCTCTGCTATGTGGTGTAAGTTTATATTTTATCATACCTTGGTATCAATTTATGATGAATTTTTTATTGTCTTCCAATTTTCTTTTGTTTAATATATACAACGTCTTTTATTATCAATATTTATTTTGCATGCGAATATGCACGCATATATAAATTATAAAAAGTGAAAAATTATATTATTCAAATTTTATCTGAGTATGTATCAAAATTATTATTGTAGATGCTGAAATATCATCCAGAAGAACGATTAACGATAGATGAAATAAAGAATCATCAATTTTTTGCAAAAATTGATTGGTTAAACATGACCAATTCTCCAATTTAATATATACATTATTGTGCGATTAATAAACTTTACAATTATTGTAATAATCAAATCAGAATATTTATTGTTAATAATTAAGATACAAATTAATACGAGTTACACAAAAATGTATCTCAATATAAGAATATTATAAATACTTTCACTTAAATTGTATAATATCAAAACATTGATGTGTGTTGTCATAATAATAAAATTTATGTAATTATTTAGATCTTATTTTTTCAGTTCTATTTATTGTTGACATACCGTCAATAAATCTAGTTGTGAATAAAACATTGGCATTGTTGAACATACCATTTTTTAAGGATACAATGATAAATTGCGAATGTTTAAAATGTCTCTTTAACATTGTACCTATATTTTCTGTATGTGAAAGATCCAAGGCAGCATCTACTTCATCCAGAATATAAAGTGGTGCAGGTTTATAAAGAAGCATAGCTAAGACCAATGATAAAGCGACAAGAGATCTTTGACCACCAGATAATTCTCCTAATGATTCTTTCCAAACACCTGAAAATCCAATTTTCACTTCTAAACCATCTGTTATTGTTTCATTTTCTGGTGGTTGTAACTTAGCCTCGGCTCCTGGTAATAAAGTACTAAATATAGAGCCAAAATCCTTATTTATCTGAAAAAATGCAAAATCAATATTTTTTTAACATTAATTTATTAATGTTAAAACATAATACATTAATGTAATACATTAATTAATATATTGTAATTGTAATACTTTTGTATTCAAATCCAAATTATAAATAAGTTTAATATTTACAATATATTAAATTGAAATTTACATTATTACATAATATATAATCTAATGAAATTTTGTTTAAAAAAAATTATGCCTTTCTTATGAATATATAATTTGCTACATGTGAAACAAATGCTCCAATAAAAAATTATACCTGTTTCCAAGCTTTAAGCAAAGTTTGTTTCTTTTTTTCATCCAAATGTTTAATCGTTTCGAGAATTTTATTTTTATCATTCTCAACTATTCTTTTTTTCTTTAATGTATCATTATATTGTTCTTCTTCTTTATCAAAAAGATTAATCGAGCGTGTGTTTATATTACGACTTAACTTTTCACGCATACTTTCCAAATTATGTACTTTTTGTTCCACTTCTTCTGGTTTATTAACTTCAAAATCATATATGCCACCTAAAAATATATAATATTTAATATATCATCTAATTATGCGATGTTTATCTTAATACCTTTTTGTCCAAAGTAAGGTTTTTCTTGCTCAATCCACTCATATTTTTTGGTGAGTTCTAAAACCTTTTGCTTACATTCCGCTGCACTCTTTTTAATATCATTAATTTCATGATTTAATTTTTTAATATCTAATTCAAGGTCTTTATTATGTTTAATAATGTCTTCTTTTTTTGCTATCAACTTTTGCATATCTTTATTTTGTTGATTAATAATATCTTTTTGCTTTTTAATATTATTCTGCAATTTTGTAACTTTATTTTTAGTTTCTTCCAATTCTTGCTGAAGAGACTCTCCTTTTTCTTGAAACTTATTGCTTTCCTCCTCTGCTTTAAGCAATTGTTCATTACCACTTTCAATACTTTTCTTTAATTCTTTGATTTCTAGTTCAAATGTTTCTGATTCTTGTTCTCTCTTTTGCCATTCTTTGCGACTTTGTTCTGCTTTTTTCTTTAAGGTATTTAATTGATTCTCAGCTTCTTTTAATTGTTTTTCACGAATATTTACTGCATCCTTTAACTGAATTTCTATATCTTTTGCGCGCTTTGTGCTATCTCTCTCTAAATTTTTTGCTGCAGTCATCCGTTGTGTAAGCTCTTCAATAGCCGCATTCAAATGATTTACCTGAAAAGAAATATAAGAAATTTGAAGAAAGATATGTATTAATAGAAATTAAATAAAAATAATTCTAAATTAAATTTAGAGTTAGACTTATCTGATTTATTTATATAAATACTTTTTACTTATTTTATAACGTCCGATGTATTATTAACGAACTTTTAAATAGTATGGAAGTTGATTTATAATAAATACAAAATACAAAAAAAAATATGTACCTCTTCTTGGATTTTATGGTAGCTCGTTTGTTGTAATTTCTGTTGTATCATACTAATTTCATAAGTTAATAAATCATGTTTTTGTTTCAACGATGCATATTTTTCAGCAATTTTTGCAATATTTGACAAAGAAGTCTCTGTATCTCTCAAGAGATTTTCTTTGTGATTTAGTTCATTCCGAATTTCTTTCAATTCTTCTAGTTTTAATAGAACTGATCCAGATTTTGATGGAGCACCGCCAGATAATGTACCAACTGGATCAAAGAGATCACCTTCCAAAGTAACGCACTTTTTCATAATCTTTTCATGGAAAGCTATTTTCTTGGCTGTTTCCATATCTTTGCATACAAATATTTGACCAAATATCCAGGTCATTGCTGGTGTAATTTCATTTGAATAATCTATTAGAGACAAAGCGGGTTGCACATTTTCTTTCCCAACCAATTTTTCTGCCAAACTAATCGTGTGTTGATCCATAAATCTACCATTTACTCGATTGAGTGGAATAATTGTAACTCGTTGTTGTAATTGCCCATGTTGGAGAATTTTCTTGCTAGTAGTTTCAGTATCAACTATTACATTATAAAGCTAAAATATAATAACATTCATAAAATAAAGAAAATCCAAAAAAAAAAAATTTTTGAAAATTTTTGAGCAGGATTACCTTTCCACCTGCAGCAACTTCCAAGGCATATGCAGCTCTTGTATCTTTCAAATTAATTAAGTTGCATACGATGCCTTTTACAGATTTTACATTAAAATTAGGTTCAGGATTCTGATAATGAAATCTTGTTCGAGGATATCTTGATTCAAATTGATTTAACTTTTCGCGCAGTGGTTGTATTTCTGCGATTAATTTATTTTTTTGGTTTTTCAAATCTTCTAAATAACCATCCTTATAATTTAATTTTTGCATTTCATTTTGTAAGTTCTTCAATTCCTTCTCTTTCTTTTCCAAGTCCACATTATATTTCTTATATTCATTCTCAGTGCTATGCATGTCCTTTTGTTTTTATTTAATTGTTGCCTATTATGATTTAGTGTCATCTCACATTGTTTAAGTTCAGTTTGTGCTTGCGTCATGTTTTGTTTGGCACTTATTAATTGTTGTTCTAATGTGGCATTTTCACCATCTTCACTTTCTAGTAAGCCTGCACTGACTTTCTGATATTTCTCTTGCGCCTCTAACACTGCCTTGGTATCTTTTTGACACATTTCTTTTAATTTTTGAAAAAGTCCTCCAACTTTTTCTAATTCCTTCTCCTTTAAAGTAAGTATATTTTTATCATCTGTTATATTGATATTTATTTGCGCTATTGTTTTTTTTACAGCTTTGATATTTTCCTTGTTACTGTTCATTTCAGCTGACAATTTATATTGCTTTTTTTCATATTCTTGTAACTCCTGTTCTAAGGATTCTATCATACCATCTTTTTCCTATAAAGATATTATTTTATATAATACATTTACAAATATTGCATTTACTTATACATACAAGCTTAATATTATTAATTACATTATTAGGTAAATATTTACAAACTTTATCAATTACCGTCATGTAATGTATTAAAGATACAAATTTATAAGTTATAGTATAGATTTAATAAAGAAAACAAGAAATCAAGAAACTATCAAAATCATACCGCATTCTTTTTTCTCAGCAGTTCAGCATATTTCATTTCTATATTCTTGATTTCTTCTTCACCAGTTGTTATATTTTCCAACTTTGAATCGATCTTGTTTTGTACAATCTGGACATTTTCTTCCGTTTTCTGACTATTATTCAAAGCAGTAACATACTTCCACGCAAGATAAATTCGTTTATTGTGTTCAAGCTGTCTTTCAATTCCTTGAAATTCTACATATCTTGTTCTTTCCTCTTTTAACTTGTTTAATTTGGGACCTATTTCTTCTTTTAAAATCTAAAATACAACAAATGTTATTGTAAAATCAAGATATCAGAGTATGAATATCAAACAGTATCAAAACATACATTATTTATTTCTTTTAATTTACTATCCTTTTTTTCTATTGTGATTAGTGCCGATTGTTTCTTGTTTTCATACATTTTTGTCCCTGCTGCTTCTTCTAACATAGACAAAATTTCTACTGGCTTCATATTCAATACTTTTGTTATTCTACCTTGCATAATTAAAAAATGTGGATTATTTACATTTAATTGAACCGAACAGAACATATCTTGTACACGCTTATTTGGCACATTTGTTCCGTTAACCATATACTTATTTTTACCACCTATAACCACTTGTCTTGTAATTGCAATTTCTTCATATTCTTCATAACCCATAGGAGAACGCTCTCTGTCACGATTATCAAATGTTATCGTAACACTAGCTTTCTTTATTCCTGCTTGACCTGATTTATAAACCAAATCTTGCAGGGACGTAGCACGTACCTATATTAAATTAATCTCATTAGTTATATTTCTTATATAGTGTTTTTTTATTATACAGTGTTAAAGGTATTATCAATCTGTAATTTAACAGATATCAACAATCAAATAAAAATTATAGTAGCACTAACTTTAAACAGTACAATTTAAATATGTATAATGGCAATTATTAAAGACAATTATTAAATAAATATGGTAATAAAAAAAATGTAAAAAATTTATTATTTACTATAAAATTGTAATAATTTTAAGTCAAATATCGTTTTCATAAAACATATTACAAAAATAAGGCTATGTTCAAACGATATACATATTTTGAATAAATTTTTTTATGAAATACAAGATATAGAATATCTACCTGCCCAAGATTTGTAATGCCTAAAACAAAACATATTGCGTCCAAAATATTTGATTTTCCACTACCGTTAAATCCAGTAATAGCATTGAATTCTTTATCAAAACCATTTATTTCAATTCGATTGCCATAGGATTTGAATCCTTCTAATACCATCGATTTGATATACATGTTAAAAATAAAATATTACGTAGCACACATATATCGAATCTATTATAATATCAACAAAAACAATTCCTCACAACTGTTCCATTCAAACGTTCAAACTGATAAAATGGAAAATTTACAAGAAGCAATAGCTGCGTTCAGCAGAGAAAGCAGATCAGTGAGCGTTCAGTGATTCTTTATTATGATTGGTTTCGACACTTACATTTCGAAGATCTAAAGGCAAGGACCAATCATATTGAAAAATCACTGAGCGCTCTCTGATCAGGGGGGCGATCATGTAACTTTTCCCCTAGGGCGGAAACGTGAAAAGTGAAAAATTTCACGTGAAATTACAATCATGTACGATTTTGCGGGATCATGTAACTTTCTCAAATGTGAAAATGTGAAATTTTTCACATGAACTTTTTCACCTTATACCTTAATGGCGGAAAGGCGGAAATCTAGGGAATTAATAAATATGCTTCAGAATTAGAGAAGATTAGGGCTGCGTTAGGAAGTATCATAATACATATTTAATATTAAAAAATGTATATAATACTGTACCAATAAAATAATTTTCATTAGCTATAAAACCTATGAAACTATGTTTCATGATTTCACGCATCCAAACTACATACATAATCGCTGTACGTGAAAATGACGATTCACATTTCACGTGAAATGTC